TCCTAGCAGCGACTAATACGATCCTCCTCGGTGGCGATCCCCAACATACAACGTCCCCTGTGATGTGGTCGTTTGCTCTCTTCTTTCTGCGTGGGGGAGAAAGTACTCACTTACTTTCTCCCCTACGCAGAAAGAAGAGAGCAAACGACCACATCACAGGGGACGTTGTATGTTCGTATTAGTCGCTGCTAGGAGGTTGTATTTTCCTTTATGAAAAAAATGTTTCGGTTTTTAAATTCTCTGGGTTTTTCCCGTTTCACGTATGCTATATATTCGCGTCTCGAAGGCAGCTTCTCGGAGAAAAGGGGAAATTTTTTCTCGGAAAGTGGGGAGAAGGTGGTACGAAATTGGGGAATTTTTAAAAGATAATAGGTAACATGGTGCAAGGCGGTAGCAGAAGAGGAAACTCCGAAGGGGGCGGGGGGGGAGGAGGAGGAGGGGTCGTGCTTTGCAGTATTTCCCCAACGGCAAGACTTCTCCAGCATATTACTACCCATTCCAACTTCCACTATTTCTTCGACTTGTCCAGAAGGACGGCTTTATTCTCTAAATTTGAGGCAAACTGGGAGCCAAAGGTATGAGGATTTTTTGACCGTTTAGGTTTAGAAGGAGCTGGGTAAATCACTTTATTCCCACATCGCAACTCCTCCCCTTCTAGGCATAGAAGCCAAAAAGCTTTTCTCAGCATCTACTGCAAAAAGATGAAATTTCCAAAGGTTCTGAATGCTTTGGGCGCTCCACGTTAAAATGCTAGAAAACCTAGGACTAGCGCTTTATACTCGCCAGTCCTTCACTTTCTATGATAAATTATCCTTACGGTGTACTTTTAAGACAATCAACGATACAGATCGAACAACGCTTGGGAACGCTTTCAACGACATCATGAAGACATTCACAACTTCCACTGCACCTAATGCAACATTACAAGCCGTTGCTGCGCTGACGCCAGCGGATGTGGCACAAATAAGGGTGAGACATTATCAGCGACTTCCAACTAGAGTGACATACAAGGACAAAACATTTAAGGATGCTGGCGATAACGACCGAATGGGTCTCGTAATGAACCGCCTAAATGCTTGCAACATTACGGACAGCAATGTTGCTGCAGACGTTACCAGGCTATTTATGACGCCAGCTGTAATTTAATAAAGCTTTGCAAATGTTACACGAACCCGCAAAAAAGGGCTAGGCGCCGTTCATAACTTGCACCGGCGGAATCGAAGATCTTTTAGAAAAAGGATAAGACCACGTTCAGACTTCGCGACCGGATCGCTCGAGTAATGGGACTGCGCAACCACGACGAACGCGGGTGGTGAGGGGGAGGGGGGGGAGGGGCACCGCCACGGTAGAATCAAATTTGGTACCAACACATTGTACCAACTTGAATTGTGCAGTGGAGCGCCCCCGGTCGCGGTCTCGCGATCCAATCGATCGAGCGGTCCGATTATGAAGTCTGAACGCGCTCTAAAATGCCTCCATTGTGCAAGCTTTGAACGCAGTCTAGAGAAGAGTCTGAAGAAATTTCGTTCGCTTATCGAAAGAAATCGGCACTTCACCTGTGTAGTGACTGGGGTGCTTTTATCTGTTTCTTCTTCACTTGTGAATGTTCAAGTAACAAATGTACTTTGTAAGACAGTCTTGTTCGCTGCAGATGCTAAGGCACGTCAGGGAGCTGCGCTTGCTGCGGCGCCAACTCGTTCTGCACCAATAGCTGAAACGAGGAAGCGACTCAACATTGCTGGAAAACGTGTTGGCGCCGCCCCAACCCAGCCGTCCCCTGACAAGCCCCAAGCTCCGCGGCAAAAAACTGTACAAACGCCCTTCTTTTTCATCACGCGCACTAACAAAATATCCCCTGCTGGTTGGCGAGACAGACACAGAGCTGATCAACTTGAGGGACGCAGAGAGCCGACGTGCAGCAGCACGGCTAGTTGGATGGGTTGGGTCCTGGTGAGAATGTTACGTACAGTCAACGGCTATTTCGCCGCAACTCTGAAGTAAGGCAGCGTTCAGACTTCGCGACGGCAGCGCTTCGGTCGCGCGTTCGACGCGATCGATGCAGTCGAAAGCATGCGCATCGATCGCGTCGAACGCGCGACCGTCGCAAAGTCTGAACGCTCCCTAACGCTCCATCCAGGAACACGTGACAGCGGAACTATCTAGCTCGGCGACAGTAAGCTGCTCCTGTCGTCTGCGCTCCGCTAGGATTAAACTCTAGGAAGGGAAGGGGTACAGTGGCGCGGCCGCGCACCCCCTTCCACCCGGAACCCGGGTATATAAGATGCCGTTCAGGCTTTGCCACAGGATAATAAGAGAATCGACGACTC